ATGGCCTTGGATGTGTAGATGTTGCTTGGAGATATAGATCGGGGCATCACTTCCGTGAATCGTGCTCGTATTTCTCCTCGACATCCCATAACTCTGGTCTCTTTGGTACTGTTGGCATGCACACGAAACCCCCACCGTATTTCAACTGCTAGGATGTGCTGCTTAACGTCCTGGCTGCTTTCGCCGGGCGGAGCTGCGCACGAGCTCTTCTGCGTCTACACCTTGCGCGGATGCGGGGGAGACGGAGTTCAAGGTGGGGGCGGGTGTGGGTAGGGGCTCCGGCGGGGTGCAGGAGAATGGCATTGAGGAGGCTCGCTGCTCGGGGCTGGAGGTACAGATGCGGTAGGGGGTGCGGATGGCATGGTCCCGCTCGTACGCCTTCTTGGGCGAGTTTTTCCGTCGTCGAAGGCGATGGTCCAGCCTAAGATGGGGAACGGGAATGAGAAGGGGCTGTCAATGATGTTGCTGGGGGCCGAGAAGGGGAAGGTGTCGCCACAGGAGGAGGACCCGGAGGCGTATGTACACGATGCGGTCAAAGAGAAGAAGCGCTTCGAAAACGACGCAGGTGCGTTCCCTTTTTCTTTTCTTGCGATATTCTATCACCTTGCCTTCGCCTTGGGCTCTTGACATGAGCACGTTTTGCTGACATGTCTACCCAGACCACCCAGATTGTTTTTGTAGAGCGGGCACCGAGAGAAGATAAGGAGGAGCTCCTCGGTTTCTTACGCTGGGCGGCTGGAGGCGGAGCTGTTGGCGGTCGTCGCCGTCGCCGAAGAACGTAACCAGGAGAGCAATGGTCGAGGAGTGCGAGGGGGGAGGCGCCCCAGGACGTCGTCCCTGCAGCAACCGCTCGCACATTAGCCTGGCCAAGCTCCAGTATTTACTACGGTGCGCACGCCGTCCTAGATCTCTCAATTTACTCAATGTCTATTATCTACGCAGCGACGCCCCTCAAAATGGCCCTTTGCCCTCGTATACGCGCTCCCTCCCCCAGTGGCCTCTCCGCATCAAGTTCGCGACGCGGCTACTTACGCAGGTGCTGCATCGGCACTGGGAGATATGACGGGCAAGGACGGGCCGTTGCCTCAGCCTATACCCTGTGCGCGCGTCGAGGTTGATCTTGCGGAGGTGAGCAGGGCATTGGGGGCGCTGGACGGGGTGGGCGAGGCGGCGCTGCGGGTGCGAGGCGTTTGTGGCCTCCCCGGGAACGGTGTCAAAACCGTCGAGTTCGAGACGACAGGGGTGGCTCCAGGTAGGGAGGAACGGCGCCGAGGCAGAAGGAGTCGGTTATTGTGGAGGGTTGGACAAAAGGCTGATACTGAGTGAGTCAACGACTTGGGCTCGTCGCTCGAGCGTCGCGACTGGCTGAGTGGGTCACATATTTGGTGGTGGTCAGTGTACTTATGAGCCACACATTCGCGCCGTCGAGCTAAAGACAAGAAATGAACGTAAACAAAATTATTCACTGTGAGTCGGGTATGTAGATGATGAAGCTCACCGTGGGCCGTGGGAGACTTTGTGAGGCTTTTGGCTATGTCCACGAAGGCGCCTTTCGTTGCTTGCACTCTGACGGACCTCCCAACCGAGATTCTGGTTGAAATAATCTCCTACTATCAATCCTCCTTCACTTTCCTCTCTCCTCTTGTCGAATGCCAGCACATCGCGATAAACAGGGAAAGATGTCAGATTCTGCGTGCCCTCTCGCAGACCTGTTTCGTGCTGCGCAGGATATGTCTACCACTCTTATGGGAACGTTTGGAGGTGTCGAATCCCACTTTCCAGCCTATCGAAACCGAAAGCGAGCTCGTGAGGACCATTTTTCCCTGCATCAAGTCCGTACACGTATCGATGGAGCGTTGGGTCCCATCCGATGAAACCACGTTTCTCTTTGTGGAATTCTTGCGCGCGTTGCCAAACCTCACCGGTCTTCAGATTTACCACCGTCTTTTGTGGAAGACTTGGTCATTCCTCCCTGATGCGTTTGCCGGCGTGTACCTGCCGACCGTTACCTCGCTTTCGGTCCCCAGTTCACTCAATGGCATCCTCTGCGCGTTCCCCAACGTCAAAACGCTCTCTGGACCTACGCTGTTCCCGCAGAACAAGCTTCTGCTCGCCGCTAAGACGCAACTTCCGCACCTCGAAAGTATCGCGGGGCTACGCACTCGCGACCTCCACGGGGAAGATGTGCGACAGATCATCAGCAACCTCGCGCGCGACTTTCCGCGCCTCCACGCGCTGTCCATGTCGGACTGGTTTACTTTCGATTACGGAGATGTGCTCTTCGCGAGTCTGCGCGCGTTCACACAGCTCAGCGAACTACAGCTCTTATACCAGGACAACTTCCTCTCCCTCGACGCGCTCATCGCCGGCGGCAGGGATGTCTTGCGTTCATCCTGCAGCACTAAGGCGAAGATTCTTCGGGTGTGGAGCTATGATACCACCGTCGGGCCACGCATCATTCATGCCGAAAGGTGCTAGGAAATGCACGTCTGGCCTGACGGATTCGTCCTATCCCTATATGTACGCCGAAGCGCTTTTTTGTGCCCACCTCATTCTACCTCCTTGGATCGTCCACGGATTGTTCGTCTACATCGCTCATTCGGAGAAATTCGATACTGTTGGCGCGCAAATGCCGCCGCCGCCGCCTTTCAAACTATGTGACTGCTTGGGACGCTCCTTACGCTGCTTGTAACGCCCCAACTTCTTTCGCCGACGATGGAACCGCGGCGCAGCTCTACGGACGCGTCTGTGCCTGCGCCTACGCCTTGCGCGGATGCGGGCGGCAGCGGAGATTAACGTGGATGGAGCGGGTGCGGGTGCGGGTGCGGGCGTGGGCGTGGGTAGGCGTGCAGCAGAATGGGATCGAGGAGGCTTGGGGTTGGAGGTACAGATGCGGTAGGGGGTGCGGATGGCATGCCAGCTGTGCGTGCCACAGCTGCGTTTCTAAGCGAGTGCCGAAGGCGATGGCCCAGCCTAAGCTGGTGAACGGGAATGGGAAGGGAGTGTGAATGATATTGCTGGGGCGGGGCGGGAAGAGCAAGGCGTCGCCGGCAGAGGAGCACGCACAAGAAGAGGACCCGGAGGCGTATGTGCAAGATGCGCTCAAAAAGAAAAAGCCCTTCGAGGACGACGCGGGTACGTTCCTTCTTTCTGTTCCATTACCTTTTCTTCATCCTCACCTCGCCTTGACGTTTAGTGAGTTGACCCACCCACCTTGTTTGTGTAGCCGGGCACCATGTAGACTCGGTTTCTTACGCTGAAGGAGGAGCTGTTAGCGGGTGTCGCTGTTCTAACTTCTCGCCCCTTTCCGCGTCGACGTCGACTTCGCCGAAGCGGGTACACAACGCCACCCCCGCTGGCGGCGGTCGAGGAGCGCGAGGAAGCGGCGCCTCAGGACGTTGGCCCTGCGCCCGCACATCCGCCGGGCCCAGTTGCAGGATTTACTACGGTGCGCGCGCCGTTCTAAGTTAGATCTCTCAATTATTGACTCAATATCTATTATCCACAGCGAGACCCTCCGCTTTAAAAATAGTCCTTGCCCTTTGCCCTCGTGTCCATGCCCTCCCTCCCTAAAAAGCCCCTCTGCAGCGAGATCGGCAGGTGCTGCATCGGCATTATCTTGTCGAGGTGGGAGATATGCCGTGCAAGAACGTGCCGTTGTCAGAGCCTATACCCTCCGCGCGCGGTTGATCTTGAGGAGGGGAGCAGGACGCTGGGGGCGCTGGACGGGGTGGGCGGTGCGGGTGAGCGAGGATGGCGGGTGCGAGGAGTTTGTGGCCTCGCCCGGGGAGTTTGACACGATGGTTGGAGGTACGGAAGAAGGGTGCCGAGGCAGAAGGAGTCGGTTATTGTGGAGGATTGGCGGTCGTTGAGGCTTGATACATATTCAGGTGCAGTCTTTTCTTTCATTCGACCCCTGTGCCCTCCTTCCTTCTCTTCACACGTGCTTATCTTCCTCGTCAACAGCGCGACGGCATACACGCCATCCGCGACGCCTTCGCTCATTTCTCATTTCGAACCTGCAAACCGTGCAAATGAGCCACCTCTCGCGGCCCCTCATCACTGTCGACGCAAATCCTCATCGACGCACTGCCGCTATCCCATCTCAGAGGTCGGGGATGGCGTGTTTCTCATGAACGAAGGGCGATACATGACGTGCGCAAGGAGGCGGTGCGCTATAAGCTCCTTTCGAAGTACGTTCCTCTACCCATCCTCTTCACGCCAGCACCACCGCATCGCATCGACACGTAACTGGCAACAGTGCCAGACAGTGCCCCATCACGGCGTCTCTGTTCCCGGAGTGCACTACGTACACCCTCGACGTCCTGCACGCGTTTCCCTGCCCCAAGTCCTGCATGCGTAAGGAGCGCATCGACGACGAGCTCGTGAGCCATGTACAGCCCGCGGACGTGTTTGGCGTGACGGAGTACGGTGCACTATTGTACTGTCTCCACCCATCTTCACTCGGGAAGCGCGGCATCTCTGTTCCTGGAGGGAACTATATACACGCTCGATGTCCTGCACTCCACGCGTTTCCCCGCCACGAGTACTGGCAAGTGCGGTCTTGTTAGTAATTTCTTTAGTGGCTTCGTTAGTCTCTCCTTCCCTGGGGCAGCTAGCAACGCTGTTTCCCGACATACCTACTTTCACACACATATTCTCTGAAGTTGCTCCATCCAAATCCGTAGAGCGGCCATCTGTATGTATTGCTTTCATGTTTGCATGAAGGCATTGGTTGGGCACAAACTTCGTATTTTCTTTTCGTACTGGTTCTTTGCACATAAGTTGCTCGCTCCCTTAGACATGTACTTAATACCTGGTCATCACAGACATCGAGGAGGGAATAGATTCATATTAGGCATTGAAGGCATTTGTTGCCAAAACAACAGAAGAAATATGTGGTTGTCGCATTCAGCCTTAAGAACATAATAGAGGGAGTCGGAACGAAGATGAAGAGGCGAAGGCATAAGTGTAAGTAGAAGTAGAAGGAACCAAAACTATGGACACATTGGGAATTGAACCCAACACCTCTCGCACGGTCAGGAAGTCCTATGCTAAGCGAGCGTGATAACCAACTACACCATGTGCCCTTGTATTAGACTCCCAGTTGGTCGACTATACCTAGCAAGGCGATGGGCATAAGGACTAGTATGTATTACTACCGGACTTCCTGCTCAATGTTGAAGCTCCCAGTTCCGTTTTCTGGGACTGTGGCTGTAGTTCGAATATTTCAAGCGTATATATATGATCATAATCCATCTGTGCTCCATGAATATTAATGAATCCTCGTATTCAATGCTGTTAACTTACAGTTAGAGCATCACGTGGGGTGATCTGTTTGCGAGGAAAAAAAGCGCTCAGCCTCCACAACCCGTCTCCTTCTCTGTGGACACTGCACCATGGTACGACAGGCTACCAGGGCGACATTCCAGAACTTCCACCAAAACCTCCAAAATGATCACATAACCTCGGTCATTCACGCTAATTTCGAAGAAGGCTCGGAAACAATCACGTTTGCCCTCTACATCAGTAAAACTACACATTTTGCTTTGGGAGCTTTGGCTTTGAAACATGTCTTTGGCGTGTCTTTGTCTTGGTGGCGGCATCTTTGTCTTGGAGAGACGGTCTTTGGTCTTTGAAAGTGAGTCTTGGGCATCTTTGTCTTTGACACAGCATCCTCTGTCTTTGGTGTCGCATCTTCGAGGTTCGTCGCTTCGGTGCGGATTGAAAGACATCCAAGACATTTTTTTTTGGCCTACTGTAGCATTTCGACCGAGTGTTCACGTAACGCGTAACGGGGACCTATGAACTGAACACTTGCGACATTCGTAACAGTAACATCCAGATTTTGAGGCTCAAATAGGCTAAAAAGTGGCAAAATTTCTCTTCCGGCAAGCCCTGGATTGCCTTTTATGGTAATTTTGCCGTGATTGCCGAGAAATGAACACTTGAAAAAATGAACACCTTGCGTAACGCGTAACATGGGCTGAACACTCGGTCGAAATGCTACAGTACAATCTGGAATATTAGCATGATACCACGTAGTACGAGGATGACGGTGATCTCGTTCGCATCGTGCTCCGCGTACTCGTTATTCCTACTGCCAGGTGCACAAGAAATCCGGTGAAGTGTCGAAGTCCTTCAAACTCCGCTCTCACGTGCGATCGCGTGATGTTGGTTGATGATCGTCGCCATGACTCGTGCCACGTCACTCACGGTCAAGCTTGTCCTTTCCCCCCACCGCCCTCTCTATAATTCTTGCCCCCGAGGCGCAAACTTGAACACTTCTCTGTGTAACAGTGTTGTGCCGACACTCCCTGTGCCTCGTCTCGTCACCCGACAGCCCTGCCCCCTAGGACATAGGCACTAAGATCTCCCCTCAGTGCGACCTCGTCCTCAATCACCCCAACTGGCAATTCAATCCTATCCTGTTACCTTCGCGCGCCGTCAAGCCCGTGTACGTCATCAAATCCTGCAGTACCCTCAAGTACACCGTCAAGCTCTCGTGCACCTTGAAGCCCTTGTGCACCGTCAAGCCCTTGTGTGCCGTCAAACTCCCGGGTGCCGTCAATATTCCTTGCGTCGTCAAATCATCAATCCCTCGCGCCGCCAACTCTTCGCGCTGTCAATGTTTCATATGCCATCAAGCTCATGAAGCTCTCGTCGGCATCGAATTGTGGATCAATGGAAGACGTGGGGCAAGTCAACAAAAAGGTATAATACCCCTCCTCGGTGTCCTACGTTACTTATATCCATTCCCAGGGTTCTTCCTTTCTCGACCCGTCTGCTAGACCTTCATATCCAAGTCCTTGAAGGCTCGTCGAAGCACTGCTTTTCTTCATCCAGGCAGTAAGTCTACTACTGTCCGATAACTGTTCTAATAAATGTTATATATACAGGGTTGAGCCCGCTGGTGTAGCGGGACAAGGAACACTGGGAGGAGGTAAAGATGGCGGTGAAGTTTTGGACCGAGGCCGGGCGTCGCGCGGGCACAACTTCGAGCCGAAGTGTATCCGAAACCAGTGATTGCGAGCTAGTACCGGAGGATGAGATTATTACTGTGTCTCTTGTATCTGTTCGATGAAATGAATGCCTGCTTTTGCCAAATTACCTGCCTGATTAAGCCATGCATCTGTCTTTGAGAAATTTGATCAGTCTTTGGTTATATCTTGGCAAAGATGCTGGACGTCTTATTGATCTTTGCAAAGACCGAAACGTCTTTCAAAGACTTTTGGACCTTCTTGGTCAAAGACGCAGTCTTTGCAACAAATCCCGTCTTTGGCGTCTTTAGCGTCTTGGCAAAGACGTCAAAGACGCCAAAGACAACAGTGTAGTTTTACTGATGTAGGGATCTTCACCGTATCCGCAAAAACCGCAATACGGACGGTACGGTACGGGAATATACCGTACCGTCAAGTGCCATGGCGTCTGCGAACCGTACCGTATACGTACGGTCGACAGCCGTATTCAGCCGTACCGTATTGTCCGTATACGGCGTATTGCGGCACAACGCGGCTGTGTTGCTTGTGCCCGTTGTTCTGACCAAAAAAACTGCCGATGAGCCTCGGCTTGACATCGGCACACTGGAAGATCTGATTTTCACCGTTGCAAGATCGATTGCCGGCACAGTCTCGACTCGACGCGTGCAACACATGCCTCGGCAACTGCCGTTTGGTGCATCAGCAGGCCTGGCAGTTGGCTCTTTTCTCGACGCAAGTTGAAAAGTGTTCAATTGGAGGTCAGTAAATATCTCTTGAGCTTTTCTCTGGCTAAAATTGATGTACGTTCTCACTTCTATCCCCTTAAACATATCCTGCCACCGTACACCGCATCCTGCCGTATTACGGCTGTATTTTGACCGTACCGTACCGTCGGCCATCAGGTGCTGACCGTATCGTACCGTCCGCATGCGGAAATGGCCGTACTACGGTCAAAATCAACCGTACCGTATACGGTACGGACGGTGAAGATCCCTATTGCCCTCCAAACTCTGGCCAAGCGGACGAGCATGCTGCGATCCTACCTTGATTTTGTCGAGATTACTAGGCCTAACCTGGCCGGCCAGGAATGGGCGGATTTGCACGTAGATTCCCTTGAAAGTAAGTCCATATGTACCATTCTCTGCTGTCGTCAATTTACTAATCTTCCTTGAGAACAAGTGCACGAGTTCATTGTACAGCACATTCATAGTTCTAAGAGCCGTGTGGACAAGACAAAGCCCACGAGCTATTGTGCACTGATGACTTTTTGTTGGACCATGCTTTGGCTGGCGCGTCTCTTTCTATTAGGGCTGCACGCCGTTCCCGTCGCCGACAACACCTCCAATGTTAATAAAGAACATTGGACCGAACTGACCTACCGTGTACGCCCCTGTGTTCTTCCCCATACTGTAGAGTTTCGCTCAATTCATATGTCACGCATCACGCTCGATTTCTGGAAACCCCTGCAATAATTTTTTCTCGATTTTAGCGGTTTTTGGAGATTTGTCAGAAAAATTAAAAGTCACGTGCATTTATGAATTGAGCGAAACTCTACAGTAATTGATCATTGATTTCAATATTCAGTGGGTCAAAGCGATTCAAAGAAGGTACTAGCTGCCGTCTCTCGCCATAGACAGAATGGTGTTTGGATAAGACAAGATTCACCTCCTGATAGAGGAAATATTCTCGCAGCCGACTCTGTGAGAACAAACAAATGGAAAAATCAGATTGATGGCTCGATGCATGCCGGACCCCAGCCTAAGAGACCCTTGCCTCGGTGGCTGTGCCACAGCACAATGGGCTAGTAAATGGGTGTGAGAGAGGCAGGATGCGAAGACAGGAATAACATACTTTTAGGCAGAGAAAAGTTACATTGGGAGGGGTTTTGAACGTCTCCGAGCCTTCTTCGAAATTAGCGTGAATGACCGAGGTTATGTGATCATTTTGGAGGTTTTGGTGGAAGTTCTGGAATGTCGCCCTGGTAGCCTGTCGTACCATGGTGCAGTGTCCACAGAGAAGGAGACGGGTTGTGGAGGCTGAGCGCTTTTTTTCCTCGCAAACAGATCACCCCACGTGATGCTCTAACTGTAAGTTAACAGCATTGAATACGAGGATTCATTAATATTCATGGAGCACAGATGGATTATGATCATATATATACGCTTGAAATATTCGAACTACAGCCACAGTCCCAGAAAACGGAACTGGGAGCTTCAACATTGAGCAGGAAGTCCGGTAGTAATACATACTAGTCCTTATGCCCATCGCCTTGCTAGGTATAGTCGACCAACTGGGAGTCTAATACAAGGGCACATGGTGTAGTTGGTTATCACGCTCGCTTAGCATAGGACTTCCTGACCGTGCGAGAGGTGTTGGGTTCAATTCCCAATGTGTCCATAGTTTTGGTTCCTTCTACTTCTACTTACACTTATGCCTTCGCCTCTTCATCTTCGTTCCGACTCCCTCTATTATGTTCTTAAGGCTGAATGCGACAACCACATATTTCTTCTGTTGTTTTGGCAACAAATGCCTTCAATGCCTAATATGAATCTATTCCCTCCTCGATGTCTGTGATGACCAGGTATTAAGTACATGTCTAAGGGAGCGAGCAACTTATGTGCAAAGAACCAGTACGAAAAGAAAATACGAAGTTTGTGCCCAACCAATGCCTTCATGCAAACATGAAAGCAATACATACAGATGGCCGCTCTACGGATTTGGATGGAGCAACTTCAGAGAATATGTGTGTGAAAGTAGGTATGTCGGGAAACAGCGTTGCTAGCTGCCCCAGGGAAGGAGAGACTAACGAAGCCACTAAAGAAATTACTAACAAGACCGCACTTGCCAGTACTCGTGGCGGGGAAACGCGTGGAGTGCAGGACATCGAGCGTGTATATAGTTCCCTCCAGGAACAGAGATGCCGCGCTTCCCGAGTGAAGATGGGTGGAGACAGTACAATAGTGCACCGTACTCCGTCACGCCAAACACGTCCGCGGGCTGTACATGGCTCACGAGCTCGTCGTCGATGCGCTCCTTACGCATGCAGGACTTGGGGCAGGGAAACGCGTGCAGGACGTCGAGGGTGTACGTAGTGCACTCCGGGAACAGAG